TTCTACGGTGGGGTCCTATGGCCGCTCTCCTCCCGCGTGTAGTGCACCATCATCAACACAAGCCCTGGCCTGGCTTTCCAGCTGCCTGCTGGCCCTGGAGCAACCGTGCAAGGCCAGCACCTTCCCCCTATCACCACAGGTGAGGTAAGGGGTGGGCCGCAGCTGGGACCTGTGGTCGGAGCCCAAGGGAGCTTGAACCAAAGCGCTGGGAAGACCAGGAACAGCTCATGGAAAGGGGACCTGTGACCACAGCCCCAGACAAGCCCCAGCCAAGCAACAAACTGCCTGGGAAAGGGAGTGGGAGAGCGCCCCCTGCTGAGCCCTCACCCTGCTCTCTTTGGGGCCAGCACTGACTTCCGGGGAGAGCGCCCCCTACTGAGCCTCTGCCCTGCTCCAGGGCATAATGGAGCATGAGCTAGTCTCCTCTACCAGCCCCGGCTTCCCAAGGGCTGACAGCTGAGCTCCCTGGTGGCTGGTCAATGTGTCCCCTTCTCAGGGGTGGCAGGTCCCTGGGCATGGCTGGGCTGTCTCATCCCCTCCCCAAGGGCTACGTGCTGGCAGACCATGGCTGTCCCCCAGAGCTGTGCGCAGGACCCTAGGCCATGTCCCCTTCTCCTCCTCTCCCCTCCCCCCGTTCTATGTGCTATGTGTGTGTGGCCATTCCCCAGAGCTGGGCGCAGGGTCCTGGGCCGAGTCCATGGCACTGGCTGACTGGGACTAGGTGAACCCAGGCCTCACCATCAGCAGGTAGATCACCCCAGGCAGGATGCGGAAGCCGAGGCGTTGCAGGATGTGCAGCGAAGGCTCATTGTGGGGGAGCACCCCGGTGTAAACAGGGAATCCGCGGGCATGCAACTGTGCCGCCAGCGTCCCCACCACGGACCTCATGTGGTGCTGGCCGCGATGCTCCGGGAGGGTGTAACCGTGCGTCAGGGCAGCCACTGGGTCGGTGAGGCACCAGGAGATGGGGGTCCCCTCAGGGCCCAGCAGGCAGGCGCTGGGGAAGTGGCGGATCAGGAGGCACAGGTACCGCAGGCTCCAGCTGTTCCCCCCAAACTTCCAGGTGTCGTTGAGCAGCGTGGCGTGGGCGGGGGACACGGGGGCCAGCCTGAGCCCCTTGTCAGGCCTGCAAGACAGGGCAGTGGGGGAT